ATATTCTGGTCAAGGTTTCATAAGAGGCAGAAAAAATTACTTCGATTTTTATTTAGTTTTTTTTTCCCTAAAACACGGGCCTGCCCAAGCTCGAGTTGACGTCCTTTTTCGCGTCGACCCCGAGCCCGAACCAAATAGCTTTTTTGCTATCCTTAATCTCAATACCTGGGATCTTTTTTTAACTCTAATAGAGTGGGGGAAAATTTTGATTGCAGAATCAAAACCAACGGTGAAATGGATTTATTTCGGTTCAGTTCAGTTTCGTTAATCTCTCAGGTCAAATCTAAATTTAGAAAAACCCACCGCCATGGCTAACCCGACTGTCACCTCCTATAAAGTTTGCTTATTTCCTCCGAAGTGCCGTCATATTTTCTCATTCACACCGTAGTCATATGAGATTCATTGAATTGATTTTATTGCAGATACAATGTCGTAAAATTTTTGGGGTACATTTAAAAATGGTCAAGTCAAAGGAGCCAAATTTCACTTTGACTTTTCCACAAATCAATAATTTTGAAATCGCCAAAGGGTGTTCAAAAGACAAAAATACTTAAATGGATAAAACAACTACAAAATATGCTTTTGTTAAAAAAACAATAATACCGTTTTAGTTAACAAAAAAAAAAAAAAACCAAACACTCCATACATAAAATTACAGAATCAGCTTAAACACAGATAAAAACTCTCTCATCTTCTTCACCCTGGAGATCTCAAAAATATCCATTATTGAAGAAAAAAATGGTTTTCTGTCAATTACTCAAATCGGTAAGTATGAATACATATGTTTAATTTTGTTTTCTTTAATGTGCATACATTTTTACTCGACAAATTAAGATTCAACAAAGGTTGTTGGCGATAAATTTTTTCAACAGATCGATAATTCTTTTAAGCATGAACGGAAAAAAAATTATCTGCATACATTTTCGATTGGTTTTTGTTATGAAAACAGTCGACGAAAATCGGCTTCTCGACTGGCCAAACAGCCAACAAATTTTGGCCTCGAAATATTCGTCGGTTAACAGTCGAAAATTTCGTCGAAGTCATTGCTTTGACGGACACAACAAAATAAAGGATAAACGAAAATATTCTAGTATATGGTTTATAAGGGGTAGAAAATTACTTCGATTTTTATTTTTATTTTTTTGTAAAACACGGGCAGACTCGAGATCGAGTCGACTCCCTTTTCTGGTCGAGCCTGAGCCGACGATCTTTTTTGCTAACCCTAATCCCAATACCTGGGCACTTTTTTTTTTTTAAACTCAAATAAGGTGGGCGAAAATTTTGATTGCAGAATCAAAACCAACGGTTCAATGGATTTATTTCGGTTCGGTCCAGTTTCATTAATCTCGCAGTTCAAATCTAAATTAAGAAAAACTTGCCGCCATGGCTAACCCTACTGTCACCGCCAATAAAGTTTGCTTATTTCCTCCGAAGGCCCATCATATTTTCTCATTCACGCCGTAGTCATATGAGATTCATTGAATTGATTTTATTGTAGCTACTATGCCGTGAAATTTTTGGGGTACATTTAAAAATGGACAAGTTAAAGAAGCCAAATTCCACATTTTACTTTTCCACAAATCAATAATTCCAAAATGGCCTAAGGGGGTTCAAATGACAAAAATGCTTAAATGAATAAAACAATTACAGAATCTCTTTTAGTTAACAAATAAAAACCAAACACTACCTACATAAAATTACAGAATCAGCTCAAATACTGATAAAAACTCTCTCATCTTCTTCACTCTAAAAATCTCAATAACATCCATTGTTGAAGAAAAAAATTGTTTTATGTCAATTGCTCGAATTGGTAAGTGTAAATGCATATGTTTAATTTCGTTTTCATTAATGTGCATACATTTTTAATCCATAAATTAAGATTCGACAAAGGTTATTGCCAATAAATTTTTTCAGCAGATCTATAATTTTTTAAAACATGAACGAAAAAAAATTATTTGTATAACTTTTCGATTGGTTTCTGTTTCTTCAAAAGTCGACGAAATATCGCTTGTTAACAGTCGAATTTTCTCGACTGGCCAAACAACCAAGAAATTTCGGCCCCAAAAAATTCTTTGGTTAGCAGACGAAAATTTCGTCGGAGTCATTGCTTTGATGGACAAAACAAAATAAAGGATAAACGCAATTATTAAGGTCTAAGGTTTATAATGGGCAGAAAATTACTTCGATTTTGATTTTGATTTTTTTCTAAAACAAGGTCCGGCCCGAGCTCAAGTCGATGCCCTTTTTAGGGTCGACCCCGAGCTAAGAACCTTTTTTGCCATCCCTAATCCAAATACCTGGGCTCTTTTTTTTATAACTCTAATAGTGTAGGCTAAAATTTTGATTGCAGAATCAAAACCAACAGTCCAATGGATTTATTTCGGTTCAGTCCAGTTTCGTTAATCTCGCAGGTCAAATCTAAATTAAGAAAAACCCGCCGCCATGGCTAACCCTACTGTCAATGCCTATAAAGTTTGCTTATTTCCTCCGAAGTGCCGTCTTATTTTGTCATTCACACCGTAGTCATATGAGATTCATTGAATTGATTTTATTGTAGATACAATGTCGTAAAATTTTTGGGGTACATTTAAAAATGGTCAAGTCAAAGGAGCCAAATTTCACTTTCACTTTTCCACAAATTAATAATTCCAAAATCGCCTAAGGGTGTTCAAATGACAAAAATGCTTAAATGAATAAAACAATTACAAAATATGATTTTGCTAAAAAGATAATAACACCCTTTTAGTTAACAAACAAAAACCAAACACTCCCTACATAAAATTATAGAATTTGCTCAAATACAGATAAAAACTGTCTCATCTTCTTCATTTTGAAAATCTCAAAAATATCCATTGTTGCAGAAAAAAATTGTTTTCAGTAAATTATTCGAATCGGTAAGTATGAATACATATGTTTAATTTCATTTTCATTAAATGTGCATATATTTTTGCTTGATAAATTAAGATTCGACAAAGGTTGTCGGCAGATAAAGTTTTTCAGCAAATCTATAATTTTTTTAAACATGAACGAAACAAATTATCTACATAACTTTTCGATTGGTTTCTGTTATGAAAAAAGCCTACAAAAAATCGTCTCCTAACAGTCGAATTTTCTCGACTGGTCAAACAGTCGAGAAATTCAGGCCCTGAAAAATTCATCGGTTAACAGATGAAAATTTCGTCGGAGTCATTGCTTTGACGGACGCAACAAAATAAAGGATAAACGCAAATATTCTAGTCTAGGTTTTATAAAGAGCCGAAAATTACTTCGATTTTTATTTTTATTTTTTTTCTAAAACACAGGCCGGCCCGAGCTCGAGTCGACGCCCATTTTCGGGTAGAGCCTGAGCTCGAGCCGACGAACTTTTTTGCCATCCCTAATCCCAATACATGGTCTCTTTTTTTCTTAACTCGAATACGGTCGGCGAGAATTTTGATTTTAGAATAAAAACCAACGGTCCATTGGATTTATTTCGGTTCAGTTCAGTTTCGTTAATCTCGTAGGTCAAATCTAAATTAAGAAAAACCCGCAGCCATGGCTATCCCTACTGTCACCGCCTATCAAGTTTGCTTATTTCTTTCCAAGTGCCGTCATATTTTCTCATTCACACCGTAGTCATATTAGATTCAATGAATTGATTGTATTGTAGCTACTATGTCGTGAAATTTTCGGGGTACATTTAAAAATGGTCAAGTCAAAGGAGCCAAATTCCACTTTGACTTTTCCACAAATCAATAATTCCAAAATGGCCTAAGGGTGTTCAAAAGACAAAAATGCTTAAATGAATAAAACAATTACAGAATATGATTTTGTTAAAAAGACAATAATACCCTTTTAGTTAACAAATAAAAACTAAACACTCCCCACATAAAATTACGGAATCGACTCAAATACAGATAAAAACTCTGTCATCTTCTTCATTTTAAAAATCTCAAAAATATTCATTTTTGAAAGAAAAAAATTGTTTTATGTCAATTACTCGAATCGGTAAGCATAAATGCATATGTTTAATTTCATTTTCATTAATGTGCATACATTTTTAATCCATAAATTAAGATTCGACAAAGCTTGTTGGCAATAAATTTTTTCAGGAGATCTACAATTTTTTTAAACATGAGCGAAAAAAAAAAATTATCTGCATAACTTTTTGATTGGTTTCTGTTTCGAAAAAAGTCGACGAAATATCGGCTGTTAACAGTCGAATTTTCTCGACTGCCAAGGAGCCAAGATATTCCGGCCCCGAAAACTTCGTCGGTTAACAAATGAAAATTTCGTCGGAGTCATTGCTTTGACGGACACAACAAAATAAAGCATAAACGCAAATATTCTAGTCCAGGGTTTATAAGGGGCAGAAAATTAATTCGATTTTTATTTTTATTTTTTTCTAAAACACGGGCCGTCTCGACTCGAGTCGACCCCCTTTTTTGGGTCGAGCCCGATCCGACGAGCTTTTTTGCTGTCCCTAATCCCAATACCTGGGCTCT